ACATATCATGAGTTCCACCCCTAGTACCTATCTGGCTTTGAGGCTGGATTGAGTGTAACCTTGTAATTCACGCATATGCGCACTTGTCCATTTGGCTTCATCACTGGAACGATTGGAGTCGCCCACTCACCCCTCATCACAGGAGTAATTGTGTGCTTTTTCTCAATACGATCCATCTCCTCTTCGATATTTTGTCGGAGGGCGTATGGAACTGATCTTGGTTTTAGAAACCTTGGTTGAGAACCTTTATTCACGCAGAGTTTTACGGCGTAGTTTTCCAGTTCTCGCGGACCTTCAAAGATAAAATCGTGTTTCTTTAGCACACTTGTGAGAGTTAACGGTTTCTGCTCGCACGTTGTGTATTTCCTTCCAGTTCACTTGAAAGTCCTGAAGCCATGCCCTTCCCAGTATGGTAGGTCCCCCAATCTATACCACTTGAATTTCACGACTCTTGACTTGCTCGTTATACCGCATCTTCAATTGAATCATTCCCTGTGGAACGATGGGCTTGCCGGTGTAATGCTTCAGTGTTATTCGCAAAGGTTTCAATTGGATGTCCGGAAGAATTTTTCAAAACGTCTCCGGGTTGATCACAGTCACGGGTGGGCCTCTGTTGATATCCATCTGAAGAGGATTGTTGCAAATCTCTACAGTTACTGTAATGGGCATGGGGTAGCTTTAGTCGATGAAATAAGATTGATTTTCTTCTCCAGATTTCTGTGTGGTGACATGGTTGGTGAAGTTTTGTTTATCCTTTCTCTTTGAGCCTTGTTCATATCGTTTCCTGCCGCAGCAAGCCACTTGGAAGTGTTCTGTTCTTTCGCACAATTTACAAGTATTTTTCATTGCAAAGGAGTTTTCAAGGTCGGGATTCTTTTTTTTTTTTTCCAGAGGTGACATAGGGTTGCCTTTATCGGAAGTTAAGTTTTGTATTTCCGTCCTTATGCCAGGCGATTGACATCTTGCAGAGTCTCAGTCTCGCTCCTTATTTCCTTTGCATCTTTAATGGCTACCTACATCGATGTGCCAAGATCCACCGCTGTATTGAATTCAGCGTCGGTTCAGCCAGCAGCTTTTCGAGAAGGATTCCGTCCTTAATGCCGTCAATAGGCTTGTCTCGAAGTCGGTCGTTGAGGAAATACCGAAGTTGCATTGCAGTGAAAGCTGTTTGAGCGCGGCTACGTAGCCTGCGATGGTTTCGGATTCTGGCTACTGTGATGGAATTTGTAGCGTTCAAACGCTTCATTGGTGTGTTTCTGCACTAGTTGAAGGATCTGCACGTCCGTCTTGGTGCTTTGCTTGGCAGGTGCCGCCAAGTTCCGTATTGGTCAGCACATTTCTCGTCCGACGATAGTGAGAAGAACATCGGCTCGCTTTCACTCCGGAATGTCGTTCGCAGCGAACACTTCTATATTTTCGTTGTAGGAAGACCATAATTTCGAGTTCTGATCAAACTCTTCAATTTTCCTGATGCGAGGTATTCTTTAGGTTTGAAATGGGGCGTCACACAAGTTACCGCTCTCTCCTTTGTTCCGACGTCGCTCAGTTGTTTGTGTATATTTTTGTTCCGTAATTCCTATCCTCGTCTCAATTGTGATGCACCGGTTAACTTGGGATTATGCAGGGATTTGTTTATTTAACTGTTTAGATTACAATCGATTGGTGTTATGAGAAACTTCTTTTCTGGTCTGCGACCGACCCCAGTCTGTATCCAGGCGTCCCGTGGTTCTCCGTGGCTCGCCGCCCGGCTTTCCCGTCCCGCTGCCTCAGGTTGCATCCGCCGTTGTTTGGGCTCCGTAGGTTGTGCTCGTGTGGTACACGGAAATTACGCACGTAATCCACGGCAGGAACCATTTGTTTATTTAACCAAATAATAAGTTAATTAATATTTCGCTTTATTGGCAAACTTGTCGTGACCGTCAGCCCCTGTTCTTTCTTTTTTTTTTTTAAGATATGCTCAGCCAATTATGTCATGTAACCATTTTTAATTTTTGCGAAAAAAAGAGAAGTTTTATTGACTCGATACAGTCCGAAGTGCTTTCTGCGGAATGCGCAAAGTTGGCACTTTAGGCGCACCCCCTCCCCAAAAGAACTGTTGCTACTACGGGTTTCAAAATATTTGCCGATAAAATACGCATAAGGAGCATTGATCTAAACTATTTACCACAGAATAACAGCGTCGTTATTCTGCAACGAAAAGTGGAAAACACGGCACATTGCGCACCAATGCTATATTTTGATGATTTTGTCACATCTATAAACGCTAGAGCTTTTCGACCTTTCCAGAGTGTTTCCTTGCATTCTGATGATTTTTGTCACATCTATAAACGCAACGACTTTCCGACCTTGCCAGCGTGTTTCACTCTAGTTGGGAAATATTCGCGTTAAAGTTTGTTCTGGTTAGCGGAACAAATTTACGAGAAGCGCTCAAACGGGGCCATTTTGCTAACTGCGATATTTTTTGAAAATCAATTAAAAATAGATTATCTTCAAATTTTTTTAACCCTTCTATTTTAAACTACCGGGTGATTCAAGGAGACGGCAGGCTGTTTAAATCGATTGGAAAATTCGGTTTCCTAACCTATCGCGCTACGACTTTGTGCAGCGTTGCCCACAGATGGTGCATTTTTTCTTGTAAAATTTGCAAAGAGCGAACTTACCTGAGGAAAAAGTAAAGAAAGAAAAAGGCTTAGCTCCTATGGAAACGCAGCAACGCCACCGGTCTTCAAACAACACGGCGCCGTTTCGCACTAGGCACAAGAGATGGCGCAACGAACGCCGCCAACGAGCGAGCATGCGGCGCCGAGGGCCAGCGTCTTTAGCAGACAATCTTTTCGACTCAAAAGCGGAGCGCGTTCCGCGGGCGGCGACAGTCGCAGAAACAAAAACAGGCGCGGTAACAACAAGGAACTGCAGTTCCTTGTCTGCTAAATACGCCGGCTCTCGGCGTCGTCTGCTCGTTCGTTGGCGGCAGTTGGCGTCGCGACCACTTGCGCCATCTCTTGTCTCCCGTGCAAAACGGCGCCGTGTTGTTTGCAGACCGGTGGCGTCGCTGCGTTTCCATAGGAGCGAAGCCTTTTTCTTTCTTTACTTTTTCCTCAGGTAAGTTCGCTCTTTGCAAAATTTTACAAAACAAATGCACCATCTGTGGGCAACGCTGCACCAAGTCGTAGCGCGATAGGTTAAGAAACCAAATTTTCCGGTCGATTTAAAGACACATTTTCGAAAACCGGAGACGACGGACAAAGAAGGGGACAACACACAAAACGTCTCAATTGAGACGTCTTGTTTGTTGTCCCCTTCTTCGTCCGTCGTCTCCGGTTTTCGAAAATGTGTAACATCAACCAGCTCGCCTGCCTACTTACTTTATCTTCGATTTAAATAGCCTGCCGTCTCCTTTAATCACCCGGTATATGGTACGTACAGTAGGCAGCAAACGTTTGCTGGGCGCGGGAGCGCCAGCCGAAATGACTGGTTGCGCCCCCTGACGGCGCACGGCCGCTCTCGAGATTCACGCTTCGAGAATGCACTTCCATTCGTGCTCGCAGTCATGTCTTTTTTATCCACTTCCGTCCGACGTTCACAAGATAACCGGGGCCGGCGCAAGGTGCCGCTTTACCAGCCGTCACGTGGCGCGTATGCCTCAGCCACCATGGTGGGTGACGGAGCTCGCATGCTACGGATAATATTTCGCGGCACCTTGCGCCAGTCTCTGTTATATCGTAGGCGTCGAATGGCAGCGAGCTGCAAAAATAAGACTGCAAACACGGAAGGAAGCGCATGCGCAAAGCGTGAGTCATGAGAGCGGCAACGAGCCTTGAGAAGACGCAGCCAGATTTTTCGGTTGACGCTCCCGTGGCCCGCAAACGTTTGCTGCCGTGTGTATTACAGAAATCTGCAAATATGTCTCGAACTATTTTTGGGTCTTTGATGTTATAAAGCGAGAAATCAGGTCTAATTGAGACTATCGCAGCATTTTAAAACACATTGTTGAAAAGTTGAATATTTTTACAGGACGTCAAAACGATCGGAGATGGTCAGAAAAAGATTCACAGACGACAAAGGAGGCGGACTGCGGTTTTGTAGCTAGAATTATTGTTTTTGTACGTAGGTCGTAAAAATGCCCACGGGCAGGAGCGATTGGATTAAGAGGCGCAGTCACGTCGCATGATTCGAGGCGCATGCTTTCAAATGCCGGCGTGTAGCGTGCAACTAGCGTCCCTGTGTACGCCACGTAAAGAAAGAGTCGTTGTTTCCTACTCACTATACACACGGAAATTGAACTCCCGACCCGAGGAGTCACTGCCGTGTTCCGGGGATAAGAGACACCACCCGAAAGCACCGGCTGCGTTCTAGTCTCGGTGCAGGGCATAGAGATTTGCGACCAGCAGGACGCAAAATTGACCCGCAGCTTGATTTGTTATTAGTAAACATGAGTCATTTTCATCAATTATATTAATACGAAACCATTCTTGATGAAGAAAACATTAACTGTTCCATGAAACGGAGCCGGCGTTGTCTGTGACCGCGAAAAACGGCAGAGAAATTCTCTCTGCGGAAGGCAATTAAAATGGCTGCGACGGATTGGCCACGCCCGATTGGCTGCGGCCCGCGCGCCGCGGCACCGCTCTGGAGAGCGGGGGTTGCGCCGCTCTTCAGAGGCCGGCCGGCCGGCCTCCGCAGAGGCTGCTCGGCCGCCCTCAGCGGAGGATTGCGGGGCGCAGCTTCTAGGAATATGCTACGCATACCTGTGCTCTCCCATTCTTACATGTAAGCCGTTTCAAGTGTCCTCTTGTTGTTGTTGTTTTAATGGTTTTGGGGGCCGCAAGGGCAGCCCCAAGCCGCCCTTGACAGTCAGCTCCAAAGTGTCTGTGTGTTTCTCCGAATCGGGTGAGAGAAAAGCAAGTATTTTCAGGCGTAAATGCCAAAAGTGAACTCTGAGGAGCGTAAGATTCTGGAACCAAGCTCCATTGCGTGCTGACTTTTGAATCGGCTTCCAGGTGATTCAACGTCGGAAAAAGCAGGAAACTCCCCAAGAGAACCTCTTCGACAAATCCTATGAAGAATACGAGAATGGATTTGGAAACGTCATGGGTTCCTTCTGGCTAGGCAAGTACAAATATACGAACGCTTGAGTGTTTTTTTCTTACATAATGCAACCAGAAACTACTATAAAATGCCTAGGATCCCGCCAAACTCCCGTGAACGGCCATTACGTTCACAGGAGTTAAGGTGTCACGTGACGCGGTGACACGCTACCTGGTAACGCCACGTGGTAAGTTTGCCTGATAAATTGAGTAGGGAACATTTAACTTCCTGCAGCGCGTCACATTTGTAAGCGGCGTTGCATCTCGCTCTATGTTGGGTGAAAGGTGCAACACAAAGGAGAGAATTCAATACCAGTTCTGTGAGCGCTGTTTGAGAATGATCGACGAATATCGAGAACTCCCTCATGAAGCTTTAAAAGAAACGTTCAACGAGCCGCCGATCTGCGCACGCCACTACAAGCTAGGCGATCCCCATGCCACCGTCGGTATCCTGAAAAGGACGATCTGTGAAGTTGCCGGGCACGGGATAACAGAGCATTGCCACGCGCGTCCGGCAAGCGAGCGCGTGCGTGGCATTCTTCTTCCGGCACTCGTTGGGTACGGACGGCGAATCATGAGCTCCGTCGGAGCGGCGATAACGGCCCAGCCGGGCCGCGGTGACAGGAACGATTCTGCAAGTCAGGAATATAAGATAATTTTGCCTCCCCTGCCAACTGGGCCTACGGTGCTAAACACCGCGTTTCTTCATGCTGATGTTCGTGGCCGTCCGTACCGCGTCGAGGACTTCCGCGACACCCTGGGCCACCTGGGACTGCTCCCCGAGGTTCTCGCCTTGGGGGCATACCAAATGAACCACGTCTGGGCCGTGACCTTCAAGTCACTCGACGGAAAGCGGAAGATCCTTGCGGCCGGAGACCTCGTCGTTAAAGGCCATCGCTGCGTCAGCATTGACCCGGGAAACCGGGACATTCGAATCAAGCTGCACTGGCTACTTTACCACGTGCCGGACGACGAGGTAAGGGCGGCTTTCGCGCCCTACGGACATGTGAGCGAGGTAGGGACCGAAAAGTGGAGAGTTCAGGGAGTTGTGGGCTGCGGGTCAATGACTCGCACCGCTGTCATCCGGCTCAAGCCTGGGCTGAGTTTAGACAAGCTGCCTCATCAGATACGCATCGCTGGCGGGATGGTACTCGTCGTGGTGCCGGGGAGGGCTCCACTCTGCTTGCGTTGTGAACGGACGGGCCACATCCGCCGTGAATGTCGGGTGCCCAAGTGCGGCAGCTGTTACCGGTTTGGCCATGACGCCGAGCATTGCGTGAAAACGTACGCAGCTGCTACAGGTCCTGGAGGAGGAGAGGCCAATAGTGAACACCACATGGACGAGGCAGACGCGGAAGAGGCGGTCGAAGGAGTGGGTTCGTCCGCCGAGGGGCCCGTGGAAAAGGCTACAAAGGAACCTGACCAAGTCGCATCAGGTGGACAGCCGAAGCCCGTGGTGAACCAGTCGGCCGTTGTGTTTGCGACAAAACCTGACTCGGCGACAGGGAGCAAGGGAGGTGTGACAACGAAGGCTGCATCACCGGGCGTTAAGTCGACGACGGCAACTGCAGTGCCGCCGGTGAATGAGGTTGACATGGTGGACGCTAGTGTCAACGCGCCAACGATGAAGCGGCCTCGGGACCAGGAGACCGACGCCCAAAAGATCGGGGGAGACTCGAGCGCGGCAGAACCTCCTGTGAAGACAGCCCTGCAAAAGAAAAGGCCAGTGCGACTTCCTTCCAGCCCTGCGTCCGATCTCAGGGGACCGGACCAGAGGCGCTGACCCAGAGGTGCAGCGCCTCTGGGTCTCTAGACGAGGTGAGTCCCTGACTCGCGAGGACGCCTAAAGTTGCCGATATCCTGAAGGTAGGAACGCTGAACGTGCGAGGTTTCGCCTCGCGCCGTAAGCAATACCAGGTTCAAAGGCTTCTCATTGATAAAGGCATTGACGTCCTCGCGATTCAGGAGACAAAAGTTCACAGTGATGAAGAGACCGTACGCCTGTTGGCGCCTTTTTTACCGTGCTTTGAGGTTTGCGTGTCACGCGCAAATGGTCTGTCAGGAGGTTGCATGTTGTTTTTGAGGAAGTCGTTAAACGCGCAAGTTCAAAATGTGATTGCCGACAATGCAGGTCGATTCGTTATTTGTGACTGCAATGTTAATAACGTGGAATATCGAATAATCAATGTGTACGCGCCAAACGCTTCAAGTGAAAGGAAAATATTTTTTCAGAGTATGGGATCATATTTAGATTGTCAAAGTAGTATTCTAATGATAGGTGATTTCAACTGTGTTTGTGACGCGCGAGACAGATCTAGTACAATACGTTATGACGATAACAGCACGAAGGTGCTGAAAGATTTGACAATAAATTTCAGTTTAGTTGATGTCGCGACTTTTCAGAGGAACAACACGAGTTTGCGTTACACGCACTATCAATCCTCTTGTCACGCTCGCCTCGATAGGGCATACGTGTCTATTGGTCTCTTGTCAGGGAATGACGGTTACAATGTGGCCCCAGTTTTCTTTTCGGACCATGCATTGGTTTCGTTTGTTCTCGGTGGGAGGGGAAAAAAGAAAACCAACTTTCGGTGGGAGATGTGGAAGCTTAATAATAGCCTTCTCGAGGACGATGTGTTTAATGAGACCGTTGAGGAATTATTTAGTAAGATGGCTGGAGTAAGTGAAAGCGCGAGTGAGAGATGGGAATGGTTTAAGTCTGAATTTAAATTGTGTGCGATAGAACGCTCCGGTATTCTCGCGTACTGGAAGAAAGCAGAGGAAAAGCTACTCATGGAAGATCTTCAACGGATACATCGCCTTGAATGTGAGAACCCCGGCACATTCACAGAGGAGCTTAAATGCGTAAAGTCCAATATCGCGGATTTCGAAACTGAAAAATATAAAGGGGCACTTGTACGAGCGCGGGCAGAAAAGTATGTTTTAGGTGAGCAACCAACCAAACGGGCATTAAGTAGCGAGGCTCAGTATGTAAAAAAGAAAAGCATTGTCGAAATAGAATATGGTGGTCTTGTAAGTAGTCGTCCCGATGTTATAGAAAAGGCTTTTGTCGATTACTACAGCGCAATGTTGCAGCGGCAGGACGGTGGCAATGACTCGCAACTCGGCGACTATCTGTCGGTGATGCCGCGTGTAAACGACGAGATGAAAGAAAGATTAGAAGAGCCGATAAGCGTCGCCGAAATCGAGCGCACCATCGAGGAACTGCCAACGAAAAAGTCTCCGGGTCCCGATGGTTTGACAGCGGCACTGTATAAAAAATATAAAAGCGAAATTTCTGAGCAGCTTTATCAAGTCATACGTGAGGCAAACATGACAAAAAAATTGCCGCCGTCTTTTCTAAACACGCATACCGTACTCATACCCAAGAATGATGACGCCCAAAAGCTAAGGAACGTTAAAAATTATAGACCGATTGCGCTTAGTAACGTTGATTACAAAGTTTTAATGAAAGTTCTAGCCCGTAGGTTACAGAATGTTATTACTGAAATAGTTGGGGAGCATCAGACTTGTGCTATTAAAGGTCGATCCATTTTAACAAACGTGCATATTGCTAGAAGTTTATTAGAGCTGTGCGACGAGGAAGCGGACCAGGTAGCTATGCTCCAGATTGACCTGGAAAAAGCTTTCGACCGGGTTCAGCACAGGGTAATGTACAGAATCTTAGAATATGTAGGAGTGGGTGAAGTTATAACTAGCTTTGTCAAGATGGCGTACACCGAATGTACTACACAACTCATAATTAATGGGAAGCCGTCTGCGCGCATCAGCGTACAGTCGTCCGTCAAGCAAGGCTGCCCCTTGTCGCCCTTGTTATTTTGTATTTATTTAGAACCCTTTTGTAGAACTATATTGAAGAATAGATTAATTAATGGTTTTTCGCTCCACGGAACCGAAGTCAAACTACTTTCATATGCAGATGATGTCGCTATTTTCTGTAGAGACAAATTAAGTATTGTACAAGCCGTTCGTGACCTAAAATATTACTGCGACCTGACCGGTGCGGCAGTTAATTGGGAAAAGTGTTGCGGGCTTTGGCATGGAACGTGGGCCATGAAGCCTCGTGTATTTCAAGATATCAATTTTATGTCAACGCCTACGCAGTATTTAGGAGTACCGTTGCAGCATTATAAAAGCTCTAAGGCGTACTGGTCAAATGTTGTCAAGGAAACACGCGATAGGTGTAGTAAGTGGGGTGGGTGGGAGTTGTCTATATTTACGCGCGCCACCGTCTGTAACATCTTTTTAATTGCAAAAATTTGGTATGTGCTTCAAGTCATGGCGTGCGCGCGTGTAAATGTGCAAAAGCTGCACCGCGTTTTTGCTGAGTTCATCTGGCGGTCTGGATGGGAAAGGATTTGTCGGGACAATTTGTTTCGTCACGTCAAAAACGGCGGGTTGTCATTGTCACACATTTTTGTCAGGCAAGTTGTGTCACGCTTCATGTTTTTAAGGGACCAATCAAATCCTTTTCTTCGAGCTGTAATTCAGACCAGACTGCCAGAAGAAATTCCTTTGTTTGTCGTTTCATCGTGTTGTCGGAAACAGCGCCACATTGGTAGTTTTCTTAGAGAAGTGGTAGAGGCTTTCCGTTTTCTGTCTGTTCGTTTTTCTCTTGAATACCTGTCGGGTGTCACGCGTAAGCGCTTAACGCGTGATATCATTGAAACTGTTTTCCCCGTCCCTTTGTACCGGTCCATTTTCCAGGCAAGTCCTGGGCAAGACGTGTTATCCCGGGTTAAAAAGATGGCAATCCCACCTGGTATAAAAACTTTTTTCTTTTACTTACACACTAACACCCTCCCTGTGAAAGTTTGGCTTGAGCAGAAAAATATTTTTGTTCCATGGGGTGTTCATTGTTTTCTGTGCAAGAAATCTGAGACCATAGAGCATGTTTTTTTAGACTGCTGGGACGCTTTGCTGTTCTGGGATGTCCTTCAGAGGACTATCAAAAAAGAGTTACCGTTAACGCCCCAAGGCATTAGATTCCTTCCTGTTGAC